AGATATATAAAAATATGATAGAGCTTACGTTTCTTTCAGCATAGGCTTCATTGAGTTAGGTTACCCATTGTTAGCATTTTTTAGCCCAAAATCCATAATTTTCCTTTGAAAGGTGGTTCCATTTACTAGCATCTTGAGCATAAATGGGTAGTGCATCAAAAGCATCAAAGGTTAGAAATGTTCTGTCAGTAGATGTGGTGTTTATAACTTGGGCTCTTTTTCTTGGAGAGGATGGTTGATCAGGTTAGGCTGGAGTTGATACACTTTCCTCCAAAGATTCATCATCACCAACTTCCTCTAGATCTTTATCCATGTTAGAATTGGTCCCAGTAAGATCTTCAAGCCTGTAGTCCTGGTGCTCCTTTTGCATCTTCTGCTGTGCACTATGTTGCCATTTTGCTAGAGCAAAAGTAAAAAAAACAAGGGTGGGTAGGTTAGTATGCATGTGTGATGAGATTGGTGTGCTCAACACACTGTTTGCCAGTCTTTCATCCCATCACATGTTGGACCTTACTCACACACAATTTGAATGTATATCCTATCCATTTTTGCCATATCTCAGTCAAATCTTCACAGAATTGCCTAAATTCTTAATCAGTCTATGAAAAATTAAACTATCTATCTATATATGCTATGTACATGAGGTAATATTTAGTTTCTGTGGTAAATAAAGTTTTCAACAAAAGACTGGTTACTACCAGTCTGGACTGGTTTTTTTTGCATTGTAGACCATTTAGGACCAGTCTAAAAGGGTCTGGTTGTGGTCCCTTAATATCTGGATTGGTCTGAACCAGTTCCGGTTGCCAGTTGCCTCATTTTGAGGTAAAAACCAGACTAGACTGGACTTTGAAACACTATAGATGATGTCTGATGACAATTTTCAGCTGTGGCCAATATAAAGAGGGAGAGCTCTACTTGCCAGACCTCAAAGTCAAACTGGAGTAAGTGGCTGCTACATATATCTCTCTCAATTGCAGATAGGTATGACCCAGGGACCTGGTCATTTTCCTGTCTGGCTGAATCTATCATTGCATCAGACTCCTGAGGGGGTTGGAGACATATTTTTCTTCCCCACAGCCTCTTTTGACAAACTGAAAGGGAAACCCCCTCTCTGGAACAAGAGAATGTGGTGGAAGGTGAAAATTTTGACAGCCTGGTTGGCAAAGGCTTGGGAGGAAATCTCATCTCTGCCTGTGGGAACAGAATTAGGGCACAATCTTTATTGTACAGAGTGAGGACTCAGCAGGGCTGTGGTTCATAAACTGCATGTAAGTGGCACTAACTCTGAAATGCTGCCAGTTGCACTAGCTACTAATGCAGGAGACTATTTACCACTAAAATTGGGATAATATTTTGAAAGGTCACAAGTGGGTAGGTTTTCTTAACAGAAAGTTGAATAGCAAGAGGGACATGGGGGAAGTATAATAGCTGCATAGCTATTTTTCATGGAAGTTGAGAATAACAAATGGAGTAATTACAAGGAGCACAAATAAAGCAGTTTTGATAGGAAAAAGTTGAATTGCTGCTTTTCAGATTTTGAAATGGACACACCTTGAATGAGGGACATGCAGGGACCATGATATCCCAACTCCCCACATGGATTTCTTCATTCCTTACATGGCCTATGGATTCCTCATCATCCTTTTTGATAGCTCCAACCCCTACTTCACTGCCCCTATTGAGGCTCTTAACGAGTTTGCTGAGGTCTATGTGGTTGACCCCCACCTTCAAGGCCTGGCTGAGGGCATCAATCAGGTTGTAATTATTCACATTTCTGCTCTTTTTCTGTCTACATTCTGACTGTAACCTTAGTTTACAAACTAACAATTCCAAGCACTCCTCACCGGATACCACATTCTACAAGATTTTATTCAACTTTACCCCCCCTACCAGTATATGAAGATGGAATCTTTTTGCAATTCTTGAAAATTGTTGCTGAGTTACATCTTCAACTTCATATTCTCTGTGAACCCTTCTTTTATCTTTAATTTGCTCACCACCCTATGCTCTGCATTTACCACCATCCTTTACATTCACATCACTATGTACATACCCTAATTGTTTGCATTGACATCCATCCTGTACATATACCACCATTCTTTGCATTAACAGCTATCCTTCAGATTGAAACTACTTTTATAATGTTTTAGATCAATAGTTGACTCCATTTCCATTGCTTTTATCTGATGGTACTGATAACTCAAATAGTAGTAACATGATCTCAATCTCAATCTGCATGACCATGCTGCTATCTTCTAGACCCGGCCTCCCCTAAACAAGTCATGGGACATGGTTGAACCTTCTTTCAGCTATCAATTTCTTCTTGTTCTTTTTCCTCTATGTACTTGAATGCCACTCTGTTCTCTTTCATCAGACTTGTGGCTGAAAGAACAAGGCTTGTCCTGATCCAGTCATGTGACATATTCAACTTTGCTTTGTTTTCTCATTTCCCACACTTTGCTTCTTGCTTCCAACCACATGAATCCTTTCTCAAATCATTTTTCTTTGATACCAATTTTCCTTTTTATATAAGTTGTTAAGAAGGGAAGCTTAATTCAGTCATGTGACATGCCAATGAACATCACAAAATTTGTGTTAACTCTTCTCTTCCTAGTTCCTCTGGTTAAAAAAGCCTACCAGTTAAACTTGCATCAGGGGTATCAAGGGAAAAACTGTAATATCAACCTGACCTGTTGATGTGGCTGGTTTACAGGGTCCTCTTCTCAATCAGGAACAGCATTTAAGATTGATCACATGCATCTGTAGCAGGAGGTCCAAGATTCACCAAGTCAAAGATAAATGTGGCATTATGTAGGGGCAAATTGCTTTTGTAGCACAAATAAGGCACTTTTGATAGGGAAAAGTTGAATTGCTGCTTTTCATAGAAATGGACACACCTGGAGTGAGGAACATGCAGAGTGTTATAGAGCCAAGGAGGTTACCAAATAGGGAAATTATTTGTCAGCTTATCTCCTTATATAGTAGAATGGGTCTAGTGGAGGAAAAGAATCTTACTATGCCTTACCAAATAAGGAAAATTTCCTTTTTTATCCACCTGCAGGATGTAGCACATCCAGTCCAACTTTCACCATCACACATGACTAGGGAAGAATGCCATGGTCATAAGAGAGCCAAAGTCACTGCAAAGACAGAGGTTATGGCTACATCTCTGACAAGATTCAGCTCTGCCATGTTCTCTCACAAGTGGAGGGCCTCTGCCAAAGCCAGAATGCCATCCAGCTCATTGGAGAGAAAAAGGGTGTCATTCACCCTCTGCAATCCCACTATTTCCCCTTTGATTTCACAGTCCCAGAGCAGCAGCTCTAACCCATTACCACCTCTTTCCTTAAGTAAAGCCAAACCACCCACCTTTCGCACCAGTAAGCCCAAGGCCTGTCTAGTCACAGGCCCTGCAGCCATTCCAAAGAAGTCTGCCATTACAATAGGAGATACTGCTAAAAAATTGTTTGGATGAAACTAAATTTGCCTGTAGGATTTTTTCATGAAGTGCAAAGTCTTAGCTGAAGGCTATCCTTTAGCGGTACAAACTGACAGACCAGGTATCCACCCCCAAGTTAGAAGGAGTACCCCTCCCTTCAGCAGGCTCCAACAGACCTTGAAGTGCTAGATCTCGAATGGCTGAGTCTAAGTGAATAGCCAGATTCAGAGCAGCAGTTGCACAGAAAAACTCAGATTGTTTTGTGGTTCCAATATCTCTTGCAGATCTTAAAAAAGTCAGCAGATCTCGAGGTCTTTATGCTGCCACTGCTTTTCCAAGCGGTGATACAGATGAAAGCATTTCACCTGTATAAAATTCAATTTTAATGATTTTACCGATAAAGGTCATCTCTAATAAATACACTACATACAATTGCAATGATACAAAGAGTCAATGCGCATACCCTATGCAGTTGACCAAAAATGCAAATGCGTGGAATCTGAACATAGGACAAAGGCTTTGGAACTGGCAGCAGTACACGTCATGACATTATACTTGGATCCTATCTAAAATTCACCTACCATGAAATAGAGCACTAAGAGGTTCTAGAGTAAACACCCAGCGCAGGGAGAATAATTCCATTACTACCAAAGGGTTTAGAAACACATGATGGATTTATTGTGGAATTTTAATACTTATACAAGAAATACAGAAAAGACGATATAGACACTTAAACGGCATGTCTGAAACATTGAAAGACTAAACTACGCCTAAGTAATAAATGTACAAAGACTTAGCATGGCTTACAGCCATTCAGAAAGACATGTATGGCAATTCCCATGTACACATCAAAGACTGATGTGTCTGAACGTCACAAGTAAAAACATGAGAAAAAGACACATTCTATTATATAAAATATAATAAGAACCCCCTGACAATTAAGAAAGACATTTGAAAACACCTTTGGAGTGTCTCCTGACCTCTGTAATGAAAAGACGAGCCAAGACAAGGCATTTTAATTAAAAACTCGGAAACGATGGAAGGCTGAAGACTATTGGTAAAATGTGTATGCATGCACATCAACACATCAAGAAACATTAATCATTTTGTGATGTCATCTGTCAAAACCGGTAAACCGGGCCAGAGAAAGAAACATGCAAGATCATGCCAAGCTAAGAATAGCTACGTCAGCTAACTCCGCGTATGCATCAAACACTGATGCATTTGAAAATGAAAGACGCGACACTACAAAATCCATAATGTTCCCAGAGATAGACTACAAAATATACCACACGCTCTTTTAAAATTCATATTTGTAATTCGGACCGAAGTATCCCACATTAAAACACATGTAAAACATAGATAGGGGTTCCTGGAGTATATAAGGAGTGCGCTGGCAGGTCAAAAGGCAAGTAATCGCCCCCCCATTGACCAGCTAGTTGCACTCCAAGTAGAGACTTAGGAGGTGGACAGTTGTAATCAATTAAAAGGAGATTTCTTTGTGGTCAGATAAGTACAGTGTGAACGAAGCCAGCATGCTTGGGAGTCAACTTACTTGGAGACTTTTGAATAAGAGGTTTTAAGAACACAGTATCATTTAGACAAGACAGCATACTTGTACTCCTTTGGTTTTGGAGTGTAGTGACATAATAAAAACTCACGGGAGTCATAAAAGTCAATTAAAGTCATGTTTTGTGTTAATAAAAGAAACTGTGATCAAAGAACTTTGCATTTAAGAGACCAAGTTCCCCAAAATATATACTTTGTTCTATTGAACTATTCTAAACCACTATTCTAAACCACACCTTATAATAAAAACCTGTGTTAAAAACGAAAAATCTTGAGACTTAACCTAAGAAGACAAAGGTGGTATTTCTCAATACCAAAGGCCCTCGAACTTGTGCTCTGAGATTGTGATAGTGTGTGTGTAGGTGTTTAGGTGATAGGGTTTTCCTGATGCACTTGATCCTTGTTCGCGTGTTTTGCACTTTCACATTCATCCCCGTGCAACACGTATCAGCGGACTCTGGCTGGACTGAGGGTATGCAGAACAGATATTTTTCTGCTTTGCAACTGCAGCAAATTTTCTGGTGAATGTGTGAAGCTTTTCCAAGCATTTTTAGTTGGACCTCAAAGTCCATCAGACTTTTCTGACGGACTTCTGATGGACTAACAGCAAACTAGCAGCCAGTCCACTAGAAATGACAAGCAAGTGTCAACGGAATTCCAGTGGACAAATCCAACAGAAGTCCAATGGAATTCCAAAAGACTGTTGTTATTATTATTAATAATATATAACATAAAAGAAATGCAACATTGGGGAATTGAACACTCAACCTTAGGATCTTAAGCATATTGAACACAATGCTAAACCAGCTGCAGCAAGGTGCCTTTGATATAAGTAAGTAGTTTGTACTATACATACCTACTGTTTGACCGCTTTCCTAAAACGGTCATCAGCAAACGCCAATGCATCATTTGGCCATCATCAATGATCCACATTGCTTGTCCTCAACCACATCCATCCCTAGTGATGACAGCCCACCAACCCATGATGACACAGCACGTGACACGGATGGCACAACAACACAACAACACACCAACAATGACATGATGATGTGTCAACGATATGCAATGTGGACAATGCAATGACAAAGGGACCAGCCACAACACCCCACCAGCACCCCATGAATCCCACAACATGACGATGTGTCCACAACATGCGAGGATGACAAGACAACAACAACAACAACACAACAATGATGACAACTTGACAACAACAACAACAATGACAACATGACAACAACAACAACAACAACAACATGCGAAAACAATGACACAACATGTGAGGACAATGACGAAACATGCAACGTGAGGACAGTGACATGACATGAGGGCCCAGCACCACCATTCCATCCCCCTCTATCAGTCAATGCCCACCATCCCCTCCCCCTCCATTACTCACCACTCCCTCCCCTCACCACCACTCCCTCCCCCACCCTTACTCCCCTCCCTTGCTGCTTACCACTCCCTCCCCCTCCTTTGCTCCCTCCTCCTCCCTTGCTGCTTACCATTCCCTCCCCTCCCTTTCTGTTCCTCCCCCCTCACTTTTTGTCCCTTCCCCCTCACTTTTTGTGCCTCCCCCCTCCCTTTCTGATCACCACCCCCTCCCCCTTCTCTGTAACATAGAATGTAGTAAAATAAATTTATGTAGTTATGATATATACATTGTTTTTTGAAACCTCAATGTCTTAAGGAATTCAGCATAAGGTCTGACCAGGGCCTGACTTGTTTAGATTTACTTATAAGAATTGCAGACTGGACGCTGAAAGTCTGTTGGAAGTTGTGCCTTTCTTGCTTAGAAGTCCATTGGAAGTCCACCAGACTGAGAACTTAGCAATTATGACTGGTTTCTGCCTCTGTCCATCAGAAATCCAATGGAAGTCCAGCAGACATCCAACAGACACAGAATTCCAGCCAGTCCAACCATTTCTTGCTTCTAAATGGCTTGAGCAGACTTTCATTGGACTTTGCCTGGACTAGCAGTGGAATCCAGTCATGTCCAATGAAATCTGACAGTCTTCTGATGGACTGTCCACTGAGTCCATTGGAAATGGCAGGGTCTGTTCAGTACTTCGTCATGCCCCACTGATTCCTGCAGGAATGAAGGCATTCCACTGGATTCCAGTGGAATCCGCAGAAATAGACAGGAATGGCACAGAAATAGATAGGAATGAATATTTTGGAGCCAAGGGCTTAATAAAAACTTCATTCCAGTGGAATGGACACACAATAAGCATCATATTGTACATTTACACAACTATATACACTTCTCTCTTCTTCCCTTGCTATTTTTTACAGAACTATATACACTTCTCTTGTCTTTCCTTGCTATTTTTACATTTATTTAGGTCAGTTTCTCAAGCCGGTCATTGTTTACTCATCCTCTTCATCCTCTTCTACAATTTCCTCATCCAATCCCAAGCCTTCCTCTTCTTCAGCATCCTCTTCCTGCTGTCTCATCAGTTCCTCTGCATCTTCTTCTCTCTTTTTCTTCACCAGCTGTTTTTGGAGAACATATTTGGTATGATAAAATAACATAGAGTGCAAAAACCAGTTAAAGTTGCCTGGGGTCATGCATTTGAGAATTGATTGATATCCACCAAGCCATGCATTGAGCTGTTCACAAACCTTAAATATTGATCTTAGTGGCTGGAAAATCAGTATAGAATTGAATGATAGATACCTGTGTATTGAATGCCTATTTTACATATGGATTCCCTTTTTTGTCAAAGGCCATAACTACCAGATTTGGAGCAGATCCATCTCCTGGTGATGGATTACAGTATTTTCGCAGAGATAATCTGTCACTCAGTGATTGATGTAATGATAAGAATCAACAATAAATCTGGTGGTTTTTTTCCAGATCTCCCAGCTTCCATTAGCCACTGCAGTTTGAAGAATTTGGCAGGCTTTGTCAATGCAGATATAGGCAGGCCGTGACTCTTCAGTTGGATATACTGATCCCAAGAAGTTTAGTATATTTGTTGGTGATTCTGACTTGTCAAATTTAGTCCAGGCAATAACCACCCCTCAAGGAGCACAAATAGTTTCAACACAATAAAACCAATCTGGACTAAAGTAGTTTTTTGAGGGAGGTGGATCAGCATTTGGATCATCATGTCGTTGTGGATTTGCCCCTCTAAGGTTAGGTTGCCAAGGATGATTCTCTGCAGGCCTTTGTAACATTCTACGAACTCCAGATTGATTTTGGCAGTTGCTGTTTTTATAATGTTTCTTCCATTGTGATTGATGTTCCTGACAGGCAAGTGTACCTTGAACTCTCTGATTATGACAATCCCAAACTAAGCATCGTGAAGCAAGCATATTGTGATGTATGTCACATAAAGATCCACCTTGAGCATGAGAGAGATCATTTGAACAGTCATCATAAGCAACACTGTCAAACAATTATGATTAATAGAGTTTCTAGAATATCATCAATTCATTTACCTGAGGGCCCATTACAACACCATCAAGAGTAACCAAATTGGTATCACGAATATTATCAATATCCATCTCATCACCTTGATGTAGATCAACTTCTGGTTCCTCATGAGCTGTGACCAATGCAGGTATATCATCATCTGTTGCATCAACACCAACAACTGCTGCTGGATCATCAAAAACTACATCAACAACATCACTAGTCTTTCTGTGTTTCTGAGTACACTCATTACATGCATGGTTGTCTGCAGCACAGATGATTCCATTTTCACCTAACAGTGAAAAGGCTGCAAATTTATTTAAACATAAATAGAAGAGAGGGGGAGGCTTACAGTTTGAGATTGGCAGGCATGCCTTTTGCATTTTCAACCTTATCCTCAGTTGCCCGTTGGGCAGCGGTCTTCCTATAAAATGGTGGGTGGGGTGGTTAGCCAATATGTTAGCCAATACAGGGGGAGAGGGCAAAGCCATGCACCTGTTTTTTTCCCCTCTTGCCGAGACCTTTCCCCTGCCCTTTCCCTTCACTAGCGCTTTCTTGGGCTTGTCGTTAACTTGTTCTCACTGTTGCTGTTGTCCTTGTCACTGTTCTGGTCCTCCTGGGTGGTATCTGTCTTGCTGCATTTTGGCATGGTGTCCTTGGCATTTGACTGCAGCCGCTTGCGGCCTCGGGGTGCTCGCGGGGCAGGAGGGGTGGTAGGAGTGGTAGGAGCAGCCCCAGCAAGCACTGAGCGCAGTTTGCGTGACATGAATTGAGGGTGGGAGTGGATAATGACAATGTGGTATGAAGGTGCAGAGGGAACAGATGGTGGGGGAAAGGAAAACAGAATGATGAACTGTTAGGTTCACATGGGTTAAGGCGGAATCAGCTGAAACTCCGAAAACAGATGAGTAGGGGGTGGCGCCATTGTGCATGGTCATTCATAGGCAGTGGGAGGTGTTGTCGGTTCGTCGTCATGGCCTGTGTCTGTTAGTCAGCGCTGGGCATCATTTGTGGGTGGTGGTGGCTGGTCGTCGTCGTTGCTGGGTGGTAGTTGCTGGTGGTGGTTGTCCTTGGCTGATGGTGGTCGTCCCTGGGCAGTGGTGTCGTTTTCATGGGTGGTGGCGGTAGTTTGTGAGTGTTTGTGTCTCCATTTGCATCATGGGTGGGTGGTTGTTGTTTCTGAGTGGTTGTGGCTGGTGGTGGTTGTCATTGACTGGTGGTGGTCATTTCTGGGCATGCGTGAAAACAATGTGGGGGGAACCTACTTGATACGCTCACCTGGGTGCCACATCTTCGTGCCACATCATCGTTATGGCTGTCCCTTGTCGTACATTGCAAACAGCGATGTGACCCCTGCTTCATGAGTGAAAAACGATGTGGGGGAAGCTTGTTGATAGACACGTACTGTTACGTGCCACGTCATCACTACCCAGCCAAAGGGACTCCTTCACCATAGGTCGCAAATGGTGATACAACCTGTGCTTCGTGTGTGAAAACAATGTGGGGGGGAACCTACTAGGTAAGCTCACCTGGGCATCATCACCATATGGATGACGTGGCACGTTTATGTGCCACATCCTCATTGGTAGTGGCTGGTGCTGGCCATGCAGCGTTTATGTGCCACATTGTCGTCTTCCCTATGTACCACCATCGTCGATGGTTCGCCTGGCATTACCACATCATTGTCGATGTGCTTGGGGCAGTCACAGTGTTGGCGACGATGGTGGTGATGAGGAGAGGAGTGTTGGGGATTGTTGATTCTTGATGATGCCAAATCGAGCATCGGTGTTTGCCGAGACTTGACATTGTTTTATTATTCTTTATTATTAATTACTAATGTGTATTCCAGTTACTGGATTCCTTATCCATTCTGTTCTGGTGTATTCCAGGGACCATTCTGGCTACTAATCAGGAATGACATCATTCCACTGGAATATTTGTCCCCTGGAATGTCATTTTGGCTGGTCTCTTTGCTAAATTTGATTCCTCCAGCTTCCACCAGAATCCGCAGGAATGACCTGAATCCAGCAGGAATCAGTGGGGCATGATAAAGACCTCAGGTCCGTTGAAAGTCCATCGGATTCCATTGGACAAACAGTGGGAGTGTAAAGTACTGCAGATCTCAGACAATCAAACCTAAACTTCAAACATTTGCCATGATCTTCAAGAACACATGCATCCTCAATGTAAAACTGGCCAGTTTTATGACAAAGATATAAATCTTGCCATTTACCTTGGCATAATGGTTGTAGGAGGCAAGGAATGAGCTGAAGGTGATGAGGGTCAAAGAGTTGACAGACGTTCCAAGGGCAAAAAAAATCATCTGCGAAGGATAAACTTGATAAACTTGGAAGAGACGATTATGAGAAGGCAAGTAATTCTCTCATTTTATGTATATATATGATACCAATAACACTTCTAGAGTCTTATTCACATCACCAGAGAGTTTGAAGAGCAATACATTGGCAGGACCAGGAAGGATGTTAAAGCAGAGATGAAATCCAACTCCAGTCAGAAGATTGTGGAGGATGGGCTCAGTGTAGTTACAGGCCAAATTTTATTCCACCAGATTCCCCAAGAATGAAATTCTGGCAGGAATTAGAGGGCACTGCTAAGACCTCCAAAACACGTGTACAAAAATACTTTTGGCCATGTCTCAACAAAATTTTGACCATCTTTGGTGGTTCAGGGACTGAAAATTAAGTAAATATTTGCACAAGAAAGGTTCAATATGTGATGGGACAAAAGACTGGTTGCAACTGGTTCAAACTGGTCTTTTTTTGGTTTTTGAATATTTACAAAAACATGGTAACTGGCAACCATACTGACCCATTGTGGGCAACTGTAACTGGAAAAAAGCCGGACCATGGTTCAGTCCTGTAGTAACATAGTACTGATGCCACATTAATTTTGAAATGAAAACCCTAATGATGACTGTAGCAGTTGGCTGAGGACAGCTAGTAGGCCATGCTCCTGCATCCTTAATTTTATTGGAATTCTGCATGGCTTTATTACATGCTTTGTACCTCTAATATGCCAGAGTAAGAGCTACTTTTCCCTCTTTGTTCATCAAATAAGGTGAGACCTTAAGTAACTAGCAAGCTCCAGCCTATAGGCTGCTATGAGACTCTTAGACTTTTTAGATGCAAAAGCCATGGTTGGATGAAGAGTGAAGGTAGTGGCAGCAGACCCAGAATCAGATAGAGCTACAGAGAGGGACCACAAAGCAGATGCAGATCTAGAGTGAGAGATGGAGCAAGAACTAGAGGTGGCTTCCAGACTGAAAGAGCTCTAGAAAATATGTTAGTAGAAAACTCACATAATTGAATAAAGCTAAATACAACCAGAATTGACAAAGCATAGTTTCCCTTTTTCTTATTACACACCCACTTCACATCTTCATTCTGTTCAAGCACAAATGCATAAGGCCCTTTGAGATTCCAAATACCATCAATATCATCCCAAGTTGTCATGTTGGGGTCTTGCAATATATCAATAACAATCAACTCTCAAGCTTTAACTCCCACCTGCGACCAATAAGGTTTTTATGAACTGGCTGGAATGTGGCTGTTATGCCATGGCTGAAACCCATAGAAACTTTCATTGAAGTGAGAGACAAATTGGCTTGGTTTTCGTGTGAGTTATAGAGAATAACACAACAGGCAGTTGATCCATGGGCAATGCATCAGCAAATTTAAATTCATTTCCATATGCATTCCCTCAAATAAGCCCACCTGCACAAAAATACTTGTTGAATTATAGTGAACACTCCAGGAAGATTTACCTGTTGTGTGTGATGCACCTTGCAAGTTATTGTGAGGGCTCAGGGGGACTGTTGGGTGGGCTGATCAGCTGCACATCTGTGACAAAGGTCAAAACTTCATAAATAAAAATCATACAATTGGCTGTATCTATTTGCTCTCCTGATGTGGTTGCCAAGGAATTTGCAGGTGTGCTTCCATCTCACCTCTCCTGCAGATGGAAATGAGGATGCTATGGAATCTGTGGTGAAATCCTGGCAGGAAGGGGACATCAAGGCAGTGGCAATGGTCAGTGGCATGAGAGTGGACTTTGACCATGAGGAAGTCAATTTGAAATTGGTGATTTACTACTCAGCACCTTGAAACATCTTCAGGTTCTTGCATGAATGTGGGAAAGCAGAGAGAACTTATACCAATCTGCATACATCACCACATTTTGGTATCTGAGAGAGATGCCTTCCCATGGCATTGATGGTTCAGGGGTGAAAGAGATGGCTGATTACCTGAGGGTAACAGACTGCTGCAGGCACACCTTGCTTTTTGCCCCAAATATGAAGACTTGCAATGATGACCCATTAAAGAAAGCACCCACATACTGGCTATGCAGTGCATGCTGGACAATGAGCTCCAACACTCACTACCTGCCAGAATTCCAGTAAGCAGCTGATTAGCAGCATGATGAGATCTTTCTGACATTCAGCACTGTCCCTCCATCATCAGACAGCTCATGCTGTCTACCAGCTGTTTGTGCCCCTTCTTTTTCACTAAGCTGAACCACCTCTGACAAAATTCCTTAGAAAGCTCCAATCCATCCACAGACCCCCATCTTGCCATGCTGATCATCCACTAACATTCTTCTTGTGGGCAGCGCAACATTCCAGAGACATAGGACCCTGAAGGCAGCACCCTCAACATCTCCCCTATTTGATTGTGACTTTTCATTTGGTATATCATCACTTTCTGTATTTGGAAATGTGCACAGACCATGTAAACAGTAGTCCAACATTTTCAAGAACAGTTAACACCATGTGTATGCATTTTTCTCCTTTTTCTACTGATTTTCTGGATGCATTGTATTCATTACTATATGTGGAAACATGGACAGACCACTGCAACATGTTCAATAACAGTCTACAACATATCTATTCTTTATTATGCTTTTTTTTCTGATTTTCTGGCATATTTGTACTAATTACCATATTTGGAAATGCACACAGACCATGTAAACAGTACCTTAACATTGACAACAACAGTTGGTACTATGTTTATATTTTTTACTTCTCTTTATCTCATTTTCTGGCTACATTGTATTAGTTACTATATTTGGAAATGTGCACAGACCATGTAGATACTACTGCAACATTGTTAACAATAGTTTACATCATGTCTATTCTTTTGTTCTCCTTTTTTCCTGATTTTCTGGCTATATTTACATTAATTACCATATTAGGACATGTGCACAGACCATGTAAACAGTACACATATTTTCTCCCGTTTTTGTCTGATTTTCTGGATACATTTGCATTATTTACCATACTAGGAAATGTGCACAGACCATCAGCAGTACCCCAACATTGCTAAAAATAGTCTACACCATATATATTATTTTTTCCCTGATTTTCCTTAATTTTATGGCTATACTTTCAACAAATACCATATTAGGAAATGCGCAGACCATGTAAATAGTACCCCAACATCATGACCAATAATGAGCATCATCCTTATCTTTTAAACCTGCAATATTTGGCAATTTTTAGTGTCCATTCCAGTCACCTCATTCCAGTGCCATTCTGTTCCTGTGCATTCCAGGGACTGTTCCAGTGTAAATACTGGAATAATGAAATTCTGAAAATTTGGCTGGTAAATTCCACTGGAATGGCACAGTACTTTACAGTGCCCCACCTATTCCTGTAGGAATGCCACAGGAATCCACAGGAATAGGACTGGAATCAAGCAGAATAAGGTTTTTTCAACTCCAACCTTATCCTGCTGACTTAGTACTCAAAATTCCTTATAAATTCATGTCAGACATCTTAGTAGATCAAATTGTCTTAATGACATAAAATGAATTATATAACCTACTACCAGATACAATCTATTTTGTAGAAAGGGGGAGGCCTGACAGGGGGTATATGTTACTACATAGAACTACATAGAGTCTACATTTAAAGAAGGGGGAGGGACAAAGCAGGGGAAAGGACAAGGAAGGGAAAGGGAGGAAGGAGGAAGGGGGAGGTACAAGGAAGGGGGAGGGAGTGAAGGGGGGGAGAACAAGCAAGGGGGAAGGGGAGGGGTGAGGGACAAGCAAGGGGAAGGGAGTGGTGAATGGGAGAGGGAGTGATGAGGAAGGTGCCTCGTCGTCACGTGCCGTGGTGTGGTGTTTTTGTGGGCAGTGGGTTGTTTTCGTTGGCATCCACTGGCATTGTTTTTGGTCCACTGGGCGTCGATTTGTGTCTGCTGGTGTTGTCCGCTGTCCGCTGGTGTCTGCAGGTGTTGTTTTGCATCCGCTGGTGTCGTTTTGCATCTGTTGGCATTGTGCACTGTCCACCGGCATCGTTTTGCGTCCGCTGGTGTTGTTTTTGTGTCTGCTGGTGTTGTTTTCGTGTCTGCTGGTGTCATGTTCTATCCACTGGGTGTCATTTCTTGTCTGTGGGTGGTGAACGTGGGCGCTGGGGTCGTGTTGCTGTGGTCATGTTGCCGTTGGTGGGCGGCGGCAATCGTGGATGGTGGGGGTGGCACATCATTGTTACCTGGAGGGTGGTGGGTGGTCGTGGATCATGGTGCCGCGTCGTTTTCATTGTCCGTTTAGTTGCCACATCACTGCCAGTGATGTGGCACCTGGTAAGGAATGGGGAGTGAGGGGGCTGCAATGGATGCGGATGGTGTTGAGTGAAGGGGATCGTGGTGGTGGCGACGGGCGTGTTTGGCAGCAGTGACGAGCATGGTGGTGGTGGGAGGAAGAGGGTGGTCGTGTTTGGTGAGCATGATTGCCAAACAGATATTGTTTGTTAACCATCTCAAATAAACAAATTATAATACATAACAAATAAATAAAATAAATAAATTGCAGTGGAATTCTGTTCCTGCACATTCCAGGGAAGACCATTCTGGTGTAAATTCCGAAATAATCAGATTCCACTGGAATGGGAAAACACAGGAATGACAAATTTAGCAGGGCTTACTGCTAAATTTCATTCCACCAGAATCCACAGGAATTCCACTGGAATGACCGGAATCCTGCAGGAATAGGGCGGGCACTGCTAAGACCTCGACGAATCAGACAAAGACAAGAAGAAGGACATGGTTTACATCCAGTCAAGTCTGCTTATGCCGCACGTTACCCAGGTTTCAATCCCTTCACCAGACAACCACTCATTGACAATGGCTACATCGACAACGGTGAAAATCAGTGCAGAGCAGTGATCGTCCATCCCAATGCCAGATTCAACCCAAACCTTACACCGCTCGACTATTCTAACACCCTTTTTACTGCTTACAGAACCGTCTGCCACGAAGAGGAGTAATCAGATTTCAAGGTCAGGGGGGGGTATGTTATGGTACATTCATATATACCTTACACATATCTACTGTTCCCTTTCAATCTGCCAGAGACTCTATTATTTTCTTACCAATTTCTCTGTATTTTATGAATTATAACTAGGCAACATGTGTATACCCAGACTTGACGTGTTTGATCATATACAATGCAACGCGATTGCTTGACTATATTTGGCGTACGAGCTTTAGGCAAACAAAGCACACCAAATACGTTGAACAAGAGTTCCGGAACCGGCAGCAGACTCAGAAGAGCCCGGATTAGGAGGGAATGTTCTAAGACCTTCCTCCAGGATCTAGAAGTAGTACCTACAGTATATAAACATGTCCGTAGGATAGGATTATTCATTCATTCTTACTTCCCCAAATATCGTGTGAACTTGAGATCTTAAGTAAAGACTAAGTAACACAACACTAGAGAACTATTAGATAAGGCCTTGTGCTGTCAATAGTCTCCAATTCAGATCGTTAAGGCTTTGTGCTAACGTTTTCGACTCTGTTCTGTTCCTCGTCAAACGTTAAGGTACAACAGGACCATCACGATCTAAGGACATGTTCCCCTCACTCGACTCTAATTGTATTCACTCGCAAAGGACAAACATAAGTTTTACTTTAAACATTTTAAACTAATGAATCATATTCATAGGAATGCACCAACCTTAGAGTCGACGCAATCAACGAACTCTAACACTGGCATCGATCTCTGAAAGCTACCCTGCTTCTTTGCTTTTTCAAGGCCACAAGATCTCACAGCAACAGCCCTCCAAACATGGTGGTCATCATCTCCACAATGTTGCTTGGAGTCCATGGTGGCAGAGAACAAGGGAAAATCTTTCTGTGGTTTCCACATACCACAAAATTTTCTTTGTGCCCTTTAAGTAATAACTGCAGGAATGCTGCACAACATGGGCAACATTATTTCAAGACTGCAATCACCTGCCTGTAATCCTATAAATGAGTAAATCAGAGCACAGAAAGAGGTGGAACAAGGATATTCTACTTGTAACTTTGACATATCCATCCTCTTGTACTCATTGCTGTTGGCCAGGAAGTGTTCAGTGAAAGAAAGTAGTAGACTTGCAAGACAGGCTTCACAATGAAGGGTCCCTTTGAAGGACATTTCCTCCAGGTTTAAAGAAGTGTTGACTTTGACACTGTGTATCCAAGTCAATCTTCAGTTGCTTGATCATGGACGAGATCTCTTTTGATGATTGCAATCTGCCTTTCTTGGTATGATTCTCCAGCATCAACTGCCATTCAGAGATCTTGGCCTCAATAGCACGGACCTGCCTTAGGACATTGGAATCCTGACAGAATTTTGCCCCTGTCTCAGAGTGTTTTGGACCTTGATCTGATGGCCACTGTTCACAGGCAGTTTGGGCCAAATCAAGATCATGCTTCATGGCTGTTGCTCTCATTACACCCTTCTCCAAGAAAACACAGATGTAATCTTGGGAGGGAAAGTCTCCAGGCACACTTTGAGAGTCCGTATTTGGAAGATAATGACCAGAAAAGAGATCCTGCCACAGAAGGATGGTCCAGAATGTCAGCAGAGACTGTGTCACACTGGTTCTTTGCCATATATTCTACAACAATTTTGATGGCATCAGAATGGGCAACCATAAGCTGCAACTATGTCATATATGTGGTTGGCTGACTCTTTCTTTGTGGCAAAGCAGGTTGGATTGCCTCTTCGTTACTTGGAAAAAGGGGGCCACAAGGAGGGTTTCAATGTTTTCCAGATGTAACTGGAAAGCATGGCCCCTGGATAACTTCAAAAGAGCAGAGGTCTTATCAATGCCCCCCCTATTTCTGCAGGAATCCGGTCATTCCAGTGGAATGGAATTGAGCAGAAGGCCCTGCTAAATTGTTTATTCTGGTGTGTTCCATTCCGGTGGAATTCTGGTGGATTCCAGAATGTACACCGGAATGTTCCCTGGAATGGGCAGGAATGGTGTTCCCCGGAGTGGGCAGGAATGGGATTCCAGTCCAATCTGTTTATTTTATTTATTTGTTACTGTATTATAGTTTATTTATTTTCAATGGATCACAAACAATGTTTGTTTGGTGAACATGCTCACCAAACATGGCCACTCTCTTCTTCCACCACCACCACCATGCTCGTCACCGCCGCCAACGCCACACCATCACTGTCACCCATAGCCACCACTGCCAACGTCGCTCCTCAATCACCCATGGCCACCACGACCACCAACATCGACCACGACACCCTTCAACAACAACGCGGCAACGCCACGTCACGAAACAACAAGCACCGTAACCCATGAAAACCCCCAACGCCCACGAAAACAACGCCCCCTGACACAAAACGACACCCAACGGGCACAAAACGACGCCCACCGCCAGCGCCCACGAAAACCATACCCCGCCCACGAAAACATCCCACCACCCACTGAAAAACACGAGCGCCCACCGAAAAACACGCGCTGCCCACCGAAAAACACGCACCGCCCATACAACACACGACGGCACCATGCCGCCTACCAAAACCACCACGTCCACACCAACGCCACCCACGATGATGCCCCCAATGGCAACCAGCGCCCATGACGACGGCGACGACAACACCCATGAATAATGCAAAAATGCGGACACACAACGAAAACGCGAACACGCGACGAGGAGACGACAACGAAATGTGACACAACAATGGGACGCCAATGCGGGACGACGATGGCTGAGGTCCCAGCCACACTCCCTCTACCCTCCACTGCTCCCTTCCCCCTTGCTCCACCATTCCCTCCCCCCTTTCCTCCCTCCCCCCTTTCCTCCCCCCCCCTTCCTTGTCCCTCCCCCTTCCTTCCTTCCCTCTTTCTTGTCCTTCCCTCTTTCTTGTCCTTCCCCCTTCCTCCCTCCCCTCCCTTGTTCTTCCCCCTTCCTTGTCCCTCCCAAAAATATAAATACACCCCCACCTTGTCCCTCCCCTACCCCCTCCCTTTAAGATAAACTGTGTAGTGTGTGTAGTAATACATTTCAAATACATTACAACTCAATCTAAGTCATCAGGATAAGGTTGGAGTTGAAAAAAACTTACTCTGCTTGATTCCAGTCCTATTCCACTGGAATTCCTCTGGATTCCTCTGGATTCCTCTGGAATTCCTCTGGAATTCCACTGGAATGACCCCATTCCTGCAGGAATAGGTGGGGCACTGTAAAGTACTGGATTCATCACTCGACCATTCAGATGAACTGTCTCCCCCATTCCCCATGTTTCCTGCCGTGATGAGATGGTGCTCAGGATATTTGAGACAAGTACCCTGACAAACCTCCCAATCCCATCCCATTCCAGGTCCCAGCTGAAGTGTCTGGCATTGAGCTGTCTGAATCCACTGGACAGCGAGATGACCAATTGTTTGAAAATCGCGGTACCAAGTGGAGAGATTCTCCCAGGTTGTGTACCCGCAAAGTGGGTTAAGGAAGATCTGGTCTTGGATAGTGAGGATGTCGGGTTGCCGCATGTTGAGGCGATCGAAGTAGAACTGGGGAATATATCCTCGGGGAGTGAACGGAATGGAGGGGTTGTTGTTGACTTCAGGTGCTGTGGCCTCCGTGATATAACGCGCTCAGCGGTGTAAAGCCCAAAATAAGGAAGTGGTTGTAGAAGGGTCGAGTGCATAAAAAAGTTGACCATCGGCCTGAGTAAGTACAATGAAGTCATCGGCCGTTAACTGGTAGTTGAGCGGGTTGACGTCCTCGGATAAGGAATAAGTAGAGGTGAATGGGGTCAAATGTAAGTTGGGGGTATTGGGGTTGTAAAGTTCAATGGTTTGCATAGTGAAGAGTGATTTGGCATCTGTTGTGACTGAGAGAGGATTTGTTAGGTGAAGAAGAAGATTGATAGCTTGACTGGGGGATGAAAATAGTGAAAACCGAACCTCTTTTAAGTAGTTGTCTTGGATCCATTATTCCACTACTCTTGGCTTCTTCTTTAGGAGTGCCTTGATTTTTTCCCATTCACGCAAAACTTCTGGAGCATTCTTTAGATTCTGCCTTGTCTCCCAAGTGTCGCTTTCTGGACTGTAGTTAGTATATCGCAATCGGTAGATCGGTATCTTATGCACTAGTGGGAGCCACTAGTTATGATAAAACTAAGGCAGTTGCCTACAGCGCTGTGTGTAAAATGCCATGGTTTTTTATGAAAAATCTCATATAAGGCTGGCAATTTGTCATTCTCATAATGCCTTGGATTTCTTTCATAACCCATAACAAAGCATGGTGTAGGCAATTTCATTAGATATCAACCCTCTTTCATTGTCAATTTCATATCTTTGCAATGCATTTTTCATTTCTAATAGCCTGCATTCTCATTGCCTTTCATTTGAAATCCAGTGCACTTTCATTGTATATTTCATTAGGTATTCTGTGCACTTTCATTTTCATTTCATTCTTGATGTCATTGCAATTTTTCATTACCATTTCTTAGAATTCTCATTAGGATATTTCATTGGGTCCTCTGGTGCTTTCATTGCCATTTCTTTGAATTTTCATTAGGGTATTTCATTCAGCTCTCTGGCTCTTTCAATACCATTTCTTTGAATCTTCATTAGGATATTTCATTGCATCCTCTGGTGCTTTCATTACCATTTCTTTGAATTTTCATTATGATATTTCATTGGGTCCTCTGGTGCTTTCATTACCATTTCTTTGAATTTTCATTAGGATATTTCTTTGCATCCTCTGGTGCTTTCATTACCATTTCTTTGAATTTTCATTATGATATTTCATTGGGTCCTCTGGTGCTTTCATTACCATTTCTTTGAATTTTCATTAGGATATTTCATTCAGCCTTCTGGCCCTTTCATTACCCTTTTGTTACAGTTTCTTAAATTTCTCATTGGGATATTTCATCAGGCTCCTTGGTGCTTTCATTACTTTTTCTTAGCTTTTGCATTAGGATATTTCATTGGGCCCTTTGATGCTTTCATTACCAAAAACAATGATCATATCACATGGGTTGTTTGGGTTGTTGGGAGGGTGATCACATGACCAATTTCCCAAAATAGTCAAAAATGAAAGTTGTAGCCCTTTACCATAGCTTCCAGAATCTGTTTGAATTATGTTCTGAAGTGCTTCCATGTGGAGATAGAGG